TTTGTTTTTGTTTTTGTATATATATATAGTTTTATTTAATAAACTTTTAAATATTCATCTCGTTCAATGAAAAATATTATTTAAATATAGAAATCATTTCCTTTAAGATAACATTAAAAATGTATCTCCAACGAATTTAAAATAAATCAATGAAAATTGTATTTTTTTTTGTTAACGATACCATAACCCTTTAAAACTCTGAATTATATTTGAAATTTCCTTATCAACAAATGTTATTTATAAAACTTACTTTTAATTACTAAAAAAATAAAAGGAAATTTAATTAATTAATTAATAAGATAAGAATAAAAATAAATAAACAAACAAAAAACAGAAAGATAAAAATTGAACGAGTCAAGTCACACTTTACATAAAAGTTCAAAAAGTTACAAACCAAAATCATGAGATTATGTTTAAAGAAAAAGACAGATGAACGTGAAAGAGAAAGGGACTTTATGGATTAACAATTTCCAAAAAAAAAAAAAAAAAATACAAAAAACAAACTTTACTCAATAAAGTATCTAATAAATATCGTTGGTGGTACGGTACCTTCGTCCCGATATTAATTATAGATGCTTTTATATTCAAAGTAGCTGAAGCTTTCTCTCTCTATCGATACAAGGGAGAATTGGGGAGTCAGAGGTGGAAGGATAGAAAGAGAAAGAGAAAGAGAGAGAGAGAGAGAGAGTAGGAGCCACCCCTTAGCCCTTGGCCACCCTTTAACTTTAACAAAACCCCCACCTTCCACGTGCGGTAATTCCTGCCCCGTTTCGTTCCTGTCTCCACCCCTCTCTTACTTTTAACCAACCCCTTCCTCTGTATATGCATATGCGTATGTGTATGTGTGTGTGTCTGTGTGTATATGATATTACCCTCTTGTTCGGAACCTCTTCTTCGATCCTGCTGTTCCTATCGGTGAAAATTCGTAAGTACATAAATACATGTGTATATATATATATGTGTGTATGTATGTATGTGTGTGTGTTTGAGAGGGAAGCTGTACAAGTCTCGATCGATTGGTCGAATCAAACAGGTTACGGGAGACTCCTCGTGTTGTTCGTTCAAGGATTGAATGGTAGGGGAGAAACCAGATTCGCTTTGACCATCCATGGTTACCAACTAGTTTCTACTGACCCATTATGTACATATTCGCATATATTGGATTTACATTTTTAAAGGAACATAAAATTTCATTCAATAATTTTGTGTTTTCTTTTTTTTTTTCATTTATTTGAATTGTTAACATTCGTTAAGATTTTATTTATTGAATTGTTTTATTATATTAAATGAAATTGTTAAGTAATCAACAATTTCAATTGTCAATTTCAAAATTGGATTAATAATTTGTTTTAATTGAATATTTCAATGTAAATGTAATTTCTCATGTAATCAATAAGATTTGTAAATGTAAAGGTTAAAAGTTCTACGTATATATATATATATATATTTTACGTTTAGTATGATACGAACTTAAGTATAATACGAACATTGCAAGTTAACTTGCAATCGAGTATCGACCCTAAGTTTTACTACGATTGCTAGTGAGGTTAAACGTATACTTTTCTACCTAACATTAACGCATACATATACAAGAAAATATATGTGTATTGATATTGGTAACATACAGTACAGGTGCAAAGTTTCATTGATCTATTCTAACATTTGATCGAGAACGTTCATAAGTAAACCCCTTTTATCAAACATCAAGTGTAACAAACGTAAGATATTTTATTATTCAATTGTTTTCCATTTTCTTTTTTTTTCAAATATTAATTTATCAAATATTAATATTCTAGTTATCTATTACAAAAAAAAAATTAGACAAAGTTTAATCTACATTTAATAATCGTTGGAAGTGAAAATGAATGTTCTTGAAAAAAAACCTATGAAAAATTGTTTAAATATTTTTAAGATTGTATTTTTTTTTACTTTTTATTATTTTTAGACTTATTATAATTGTTGCTATTATAATACTAATATTCTAATTATTTATTAAAAAAAAAAAGTTGACAAAGTTTAATCTACATTTAATAATCGTTGGAAGTGAAAATGAATGTTCTTGAAAAAAAAACCTATGAAAAATTGTTTAAATATTTTTAAGATTGTATTTTTTTTATTATTCTTACATGCATTATAATTGTTGTTATTATAATACTAATATTCTAATTATTTATTAAAAAAAAAAGAATTAGAAAAAGTTTAATCTACATTTAATAATCGTTGGAAGTGAAAATGAGTGTTCTTGAAAAAACCTACGACAAATTGTTTAAATATTTTTAAGATTGTATTTTTTTAAAATTATTTCTACATGGTTTATAATTGTTATTATTATTATTATTATTATTACTATTCTATACAACCGTAATCTGTTCGAATACTACGATGCGTGCGTGCGTCAACAGATATTAATTGCAAATGAAAACGAAGAATCATTGAAACTAGATACATATCAATGCAATAGGAGAAGGTCGAAATTCGATAACACTCGACGTGTTACAAATAAATATCTATGTAAGAACGATAATCAAATTCTAATCTCTTACACCAATTATTATTATATCACACAAGATAAAACGTCCTCCCCCCTCCTCTCCCTCTCTCCCCACTCTCTTTCTTATCGTAAGATAATTTATTAACTATCGATTTATTGATTCAAAAAGCAAACAAGAACATCAAATATTTTCCTTTTTTTTTTTCTAAATCATCCTACAAAAATATATTTAAACGTTAATTATTATCTGATCGATCGCGTGAGGAATAAAAAAAAAGAAAAAAAAAAATTACAAAAGACAAAAGTGATCGTTTGATGAATCATTGATGAACAACGCGTATCACGAGGATCACATAAGTTTGAATAAAGAGTGGGGGGAAAGGGGTAAAGGGGGTGAGAGGTGGGACAGTTGGGTGGAATGAGACGGAAGGATTTAAAATGGAAACGTAACAAAAAGAATAATCAAAATCGAAGAAGAAAGAAAGAAAAAAAAAAAGAGAGAGAGAGGAGATGTAAGTTACTCGGTAAGATCCGTAATGAGCCATTGTTTCCTGCAAAAAGCCTTGACGATGTTATCGATAATTACGAAATGATACGGGAAGCATAAATATATATCCCGAGTTTAGAGCGTACCATTTTCTATGTGGTAGTAGTATAAATAGTATATTAATTTTTAAACAGAGTTAATGGTACGACTGGAATTTCGAATGGCGGATGCGTATCGATAGTTGTCGAGTTGCATCCTGCAATATTTGTCACGTGGGGCACGTCCGCCGAGAAAATGAGATGAGTGGGGTGGTTGTGTTAATGGTAGTGGGAGAAAGATAAAAGAAAAGAAACACGAGTAGAATCGATAAGATCAAACGATTTTGTTTTTCTACTTCTAAACAATCTTACTTGTTTTTCTAAAAAAAATCTTTCATATGATTTATGACATACATGTATGTATGTATGTATGTATGTATGTATAAGTTGACAGGTATTTTTTAATTGAATCGTACGTATAATTATTATAAAAAAAAAAATAAATTGTTATACATTCAAAATTGATTTGTTCTACGT